TCCTGCCCACATGCTCAGCGTCTATCTGATCACCGTATTTAGGGTCAGCAAGGAACTTCCCTCGAGCCATAGGGGCCGAGATCCTGGGGGGGTTTCACCCTCCTCTGCTGCCAGGATCACGGGTCACTTGCAGGTTTAAACTCGTGTACGTGGTGGGCTCTGTCTTTGAAATCATGGCTTGAGGGCCAGAGTTGGGGTCTGGCACAGGAGGGGCTGGGTTAAGTTCTGAGGCGTGCAGGTGGCCAGACTGGATTATCTTGATGGTCCCTGCTGGTCTTAAAGTCCAAGTCAGCCCTGCTGTCACCCTGCCGGCCGGGGTTACATGTCAGACCTGCACTCAGACCGGGCTGGCTGGACCCCCTCTTCCCTGGAGCCAGTACCGGACCGACCCCGGAGCAAGATGGGAGGGGACCCTGTGGCCAGTACCAGCTTGCAAATGACACCAGGCTTTGGCCACTTACGGTGCACTTTTTGCCAGAGTAGAGGGGTTCAAATCTTGGCCAAGCTCCGTCATGAATAGTTACACTCCACTCCCGAAGTGCTGGATTTCACTCCCTGGAGCCTGTTAAGACAGCCGGGCTTTCCCCAGAGAACCGATTGCACACGGCACTAGACAAGCCCACTCCAGACAGGAGCATCTGCAGAGCATGTCCGGCTCCGACTCAGCAGCGCTGCCCAGCATTTGCACCATTAGCTTTGCTAAGTGAGTCTTTGACGATTCCAATAATTAGCCCCTCACCAGAGCTCTCCTCTCCCCACCCAGCGCACACACAGGGAAATCACAACCCTGCGGAGGGAATGTCCAGAGCGCCACGGCTTACCGGGGAATTGTCCGGGGACCAGGAGATGAAGAGCCACTCGAAGCCCTGGGCGTTCTGGGTGTCCAGCCGGTAGAGGATGTAGCACGGCTGCTGTTCGTCCAGCAGCGGCAGCACGAAGGAGTCGTAGTCCTTATCCCAATGCCGAGCCAGGTCTTTGGCAGCTCCCAGCACCAGCTGCTCTGCAGGGAGGAAGAGAAGAACTGTGAATGACAAAGCTCCACCAGGGCTTTGCACTCCTGAGGCTGGGCTCTGGTGCCCCAGGCCGGCCTGCTCCCTGCTCCCTCACCCGCCAGAGCACGTGCAAAGCCATCCACAGGCTGCTTCCCTACATGCAGCAACGTGCAGGGTGACCAGGAACACTCAGAGCCTGGGGGGAGAAGAGGGGCACAAAGTGCGCACACATCCCCATTAACACAGACGCAGGCTGCCTGCAAGAGGCCCAGTGAGAAAGAGGCAAAGGGGAGCAGCAAGGTTCTGAGGGGCAGCAAAGGGGCACAAATTGGCATGGGAATACAAAGCGCCACCCACACAGGGAGAGCAGGCCTCGGGAACAGCTGGGGAGCGTGACCTGTTGCTAGAACAGGCGCCCGCATGCTCAAGGTTTAATGAATCCAAATAGCCACAGCTACACGTCACCCGCTGCACCGCTGAAAGCTGCTGGGGGGGGGGAGCTGCCTCCCCCAGACTCCCACTGAGCACACATCACAGCACGAGCTCTCCGCCACCGCAAGGCTGAGGATGGGCACGCAGGCCGGGGCTAGGACACGCAGCCTGGCTATCGCCACTGAGGGGCGTGGCCTGCACAGACCCACACGGCTTGCGCTCCAGGAACTGATCACTCGGCCCTTGCCTCAGCGGCTCCTCCACACTGCAGAGCGGTTGTTCGCCAGGAGGCCCAAAGGCAGCTCGGAATTCCCGTCTCTGCCAGCTGTTCCTCAGACCCAAGAACCGCTTCCCTGACAGACCTGGGGGCGAGATTCTCAGAGCCCCCCAGTGCAATGCTTCCAGACTGCCTCCCCCTCCACAAACCCCCAGAGCCACCTTGGACCCTCCCTGCCCATGTCTCCCTAGTGGGGCTCCGGTTCCCCTTCTCTCCCAGAGCTTCTGGCAGAGCAACTACAGAGGCGACAGGGAAAGGCACCAAAGGGTTTGGGGCTTGCAGCTACCGCAAGCCAGGAGAGCAACATGTTACCAGAAAGCTCCACTTCCCCGATGATGCAAAAAGAGGGGAGAGAAATCTCTGCTGAAACGTGATTGCCAACATGCGCAGCTTCCTGCCCGGGGCCTGCTGCTGTGGGTTGTGCCAGCTGCCTGTGCCCTACCAGCTAGGGGCAAGCGGAGTCCTGGGCACCTCTTGCTGAAGGCCCTGGGGCTATGGTGCCAGGCAGGGCCATGCCTGCACCTCACACACTTCCTGTTCCTGCCGAGCTGGTGAGCAAGGCCGACGCACTGGCCTGAATGGGCACAGGCCGCACCGGGACCTGCCTGCGAAGGGAAGTGCGGAGCATGCAGGGGAGGAGGGGCGGGACGTTCAATCGCCCATCTGCTGCGGGGGTGAAGCCTGGGGAATCGGTGTAAAGGGCGGGCTGGGTGGGCAGGAACACGCTGGGGAGAAAGGCAGGGTGGGGCCCACGGCTCAGCTTTCACGGAGCACGGCTGAGTCAGAGCCCAACATACCCCACTAGGGCCTCCCAAACAGGGATGTCAAATTCCGGTTACCAAGGTAACCAGTTAAACCTTGTATTTAACCAGTTAACTGGCCCAGCAGGCTCCTCCAGCCCGGGCGGGGAGCTGCTCCGCCCGACCTAGGCTGCTCCAGCTCAGCCGGGCCCTCGGTTACCCGGTACGCAGGTGGGTAAGGCAATGCTTACCAGGTAACCGGTTAACCCTTTACATCCCTACCCCCAAAGCAGCAGGGCTTCAGCAAACAGCCCCAGCGAGGGGCCCTGGCACAGAGCTGGCCTGAGCCCCAGCGGCCAGCTGGCCCTGCAGCAGTCCCCAGACAAGCCACGGGGTGGAAAAGCAGGGCCTGTCTTCTCAGGCTGGCACAAGCTGCAGCCGCCCAGCCCGCGGAGGTGCCTTGTGGCCCAAACCCAAGGGCATGCTCGCGGCTCAACGCAGGCCGCTAAGTGCTGGGTGGCGAGCCAGCGCGGGCGGCAGACCAGAGCCTGCAATTTTCTCTCCACTCCCATGACGACATTCCAAGGGAAGCCAACCCCAACCACTGTCTCTTCTCCAGCACCGTGCGGCAACCCGTACAGCTCCCACTCAGGGAGTACCCGGGGGAGTGCCACTGCCCCTTCCCCCAGGGCTCCTGTCACGCAGGGATGCACCCAGCCAGCTGCTGTGATAACGAGTGTCCCGGCAAGTGGAAGCAAAACAGCCTCTGCAGGGTTGCCAGGCAGCTGGATGAAAACAGAGCGCCAGTCTGCGAGGCTCCCTCCACCTTTGAAGATGCCCTGTGTAAAGGCAACATCCCACTCAGCACCACTAGGCTTGGAGATAAACAGAGGTTTCACACGGCCCTAATTTCCACCTAACCTCCCCACAGCTGCTTCGTCCTCCAGCAGAAAGCCTCATCCCACACATCCACTGTGCTTGGCGCTCTGAGGAACCTAGCAATTACGGTTCTTGAAATTCAAATCCACAAAAAAAAAAAAAAAAAAATCTTTGTTTCTACCAGCAGCTCCAAAAAGCTAGGGCCTACTTTCTAGAGCTGTGTACACACAAGTACTGCAGCTACCTGCACACTACAGCCCCCGGGCCTGCGAGCTTGGCCGTCCTGGACTCTCACTACATTCCGGAGGACGTGAGCGTGCACACAAGGGAGAGAGGAGTCAGTGGCAGTGACCCTGCAGCGCGAAGCGCTTCCACTGACCTTCAGCCTGTCTGCGACCTGCCGCTCGCAGTTTGGCTCGCTCCTGCGGCCGAGCTCCATCTCGAGCACACACAAACCAGCCATCGGCTTCTGGCTTGCTGGCAGCTCCATGGGCAGATCTCTGCAGAGCGAAACGCTTCCCTTGGAAGAGCACTACTCTGCAAGACAGCCTCCTCACTGACCCACCCCATCTGCCAACACAGATCACCCGCGCTAGCCAGTCAGCTGCAGGTCTCTCAGGCTACAGGCTGTCCTGTCGCACTGCCAGACCCCAAGCCCGCAGAAACCCATGGAGGGGGGCCCAGGATTCTCAGGAAGGCAGCCAGTTTGGGCAGGGAGCAGAGGCCAGAGACTCCAGCCAGGGAAAAAGCAGCAGCCAAAACCAGGGACATCTGGACGCTCCCAGAACGTTGGCTGTCAGTTTACTCCGACTGACTCCCTCCCTCTGCATCACAACAGGGTGTGAGGTGCAGGGAGCGGCTCTCAACTCCAGACACGTGGACCCACCCTGGTGGGGAGATGTGCCCCCCCCAACCCAGGTGCTACTGCAAGGAGAGACCGGGGGGCGGGAGGTCCTCTCTCCATGCAGTAGCCCCAGAGCAGCCTCCTTCACCCCAAACACCTCCTGAATCCAGGCCCAACCCCAAAGTTTGTATCTACAGCCAGATCCCTCAGACCCCTGTGCACCTCCTGTGCCAGCCCCGAGCCCATCATCCCCACTCCACCCCAGAGCCTGCAATCGCAGACTCTCTGCCCCAAGCCTGAGCCCCCTCCTACCTTATAAACCCTTTGGCCCCCCACCACATGAATTTTTCTATGTGCACCAATTTCTACTGGATGGATTTCCTGGGCAAGCAAGACGGTACCGACGTGTACCTAACAAAATTCAATCCACTCAGGAAGGGGAAAATGGGAGGAAACGCTGGTTGCAAAGGGCAATCATTGCCTGTCATTTGCAGGCCAGTTGTCAGGACAGGCAGTTGCAGGAGTCCAGTGAGACCCTGTGGGCTCTGCACCTGTGAACAGGCTGGGACGTGATTAGAAACCGGAGCAAGCAAGACGGTACCGACGTGTACCTAACAAAATTCAATCCACTCAGGAAGGGGAAAATGGGAGGAAACGCTGGTTGCAAAGGGCAATCATTGCCTGTCATTTGCAGGCCAGTTGTCAGGACAGGCAGTTGCAGGAGTCCAGTGAGACCCTGTGGGCTCTGCACCTGTGAACAGGCTGGGACGTGATTAGAAACCGGAAAGTGGCTGGGGCTTCGCCACATCTCACCATTCTGTAACTGGGCCGGCAGAACAGCGAGGGGCACGCGTATCCTGGGCTGGTTTCAGCTGTAGCGCAGACCAGGCTAAAGCGCCAAGCATTTAGAGCAGCCACACAAACCTGGAGCAGTGACGGAGCCATTCCCAGCGCTCCCCAAGGCACCTAATGCACGGGACACCCAATCTGGCAGAGCAATGCGTTCCACTGGCCCTGATCTCACCCAGACACAGCTGCCAGCGTCACAAGAGAAGACATGTTGGTGCTCAGTGTTGGTCTAACTCTCCTCCCATGGAAGTCAATGGCAAAACTCCCCTCAACCTCTACGGCAGAGCTCGGTGGATCTCTCAGTCTCCAGTAATCCCTATTTCTACTGGATGGATTTCCTGGGCAAGCAAGACGGTACCGACGTCCAGCGATTCCGAAGTTACCCTGTCCCCGAGCCCTCTCTCATGTTTAAGAACCACTGGCGAGAATTTACACACGTCAAGAAAAACTGCAAACTGAGAAGTGATTTTCTTTGGTATCTTTTAGCTTCAAACCAACACAACACACAGACAGGAGAGGCACAAGATCTGCAATGGACTAAAAAAGAAGATAGGAATCCTTCTGTCCCTGTTCAGCAAACAGTGCCTGGCATGCAGACCAGGCTAAAGCGCCAAGCATTTAGAGCAGCCACACAAACCTGGAGCAGTGACGGAGCCATTCCCAGCGCTCCCCAAGGCACCTAATGCACGGGACACCCAATCTGGCAGAGCAATGCGTTCCACTGGCCCTGATCTCACCCAGACACAGCTGCCAGCGTCACAAGAGAAGACATGTTGGTGCTCAGTGTTGGTCTAACTCTCCTCCCATGGAAGTCAATGGCAAAACTCCCCTCAACCTCTACGGCAGAGCTCGGTGGATCTCTCAGTCTCCAGTAATCCCTATTTCTACTGGATGGATTTCCTGGGCAAGCAAGACGGTACCGACGTCCAGCGATTCCGAAGTTACCCTGTCCCCGAGCCCTCTCTCATGTTTAAGAACCACT